GGTTTAAAGTGGCATTTTCTAATAGAATTTTCCTACAACATAAACACAAAATCAAATCACTAAATAAATGATTCAAAGTTATCCCATGATTTTCCAAGTTACTTGCTTTACATTCTAAAGAGAGTTAAAGTGCTCACTTTGTCTCATCTGCTTTTCTGGTTGGCCTTGCGTAATTAACGGTTCTGATCCTCTTGGTTATGATTTATGGCATCAGTTCTTAGGTTGCGCATTGAGCCAAGTTCACTAAATACTCACTATTCACCCTGATCTCCCTTGTGCTATACTTAAGTAGCACAGTTCCATCACCAAACTCACCATCCTTTGATCAATGATCTAATTAATGCTTTTGGCCTTCCCCTTAAAGAAACAGAAAGCCAAAGGCAATAATGGTAAAGATAAAAAGGACACACTAAAGTTGGTGCCAAGAGGGTTCTCTTATTAAATGCTACCCTCTCCCCTCCATTTCTATTCAAAATTCAAATTGTCCCTACTCACCCTGACTCCCCTTTTGTTTTGGTTCCAAATTTTCAAGTGAAAGAAAGAAGAAACAAGAGCTTGCAGTAATGGAATGGGGGAAGTGTAGATGAAGCATTACTGAAAAGATGAGCACAGCAAGGTTCATTAAGTGTGTCACAGTTGGTGATGGAGCCGTGGGAAAGACTTGCATGCTTATCTCTTACACCAGCAATACTTTCCCCACGGTATGACAAGGCATTTTCACAATGTTTTGGTGTTTTGAACATTCACATGTTGTTTGTGTTTTGGCTTTAACAAGACATTAACCTCTTCTTCTTGTTAAATAAACAAGGATTATGTGCCTACAGTTTTCGACAATTTCAGTGCAAATGTTGTGGTTGATGGCAGTACAGTTAACCTGGGATTGTGGGACACTGCTGGTAAGTATTACATATGATAAATGATAAAACTTGTGGTTGCTGCATACAGTATATTCACGCAATTATTAGACTTTCTGCCACTAAAATGTGCATTTGGAAAATCATACTCGTTGGTTCTTCTTTCATGTAGAATATCAATATGTAATACTTCGCTCATGTATTTTTGCTTCATGAATTCAGGACAGGAAGATTACAACAGGCTTAGGCCATTGAGTTACAGAGGAGCAGATGTGTTCTTGCTGGCCTTTTCTCTCATCAGCAAAGCCAGCTATGAGAATATATCCAAAAAGGTTCTTCTAATCACCAAATTTTTAAGGCACAAAGAATATGTTGTTTGGTACAAATTTCAGCCCACGGAAACTGACATTAAGCCAATTTTATACAGTGGATTCCTGAACTGAGACACTATGCTCCAACTGTGCCAATTGTACTTGTGGGAACCAAACTTGGTATATCATCTTAAACTACTTCATTACTTAATGATTTTGCATCAATAACTTAAAGCTAGTCATTTACCTGCATTGTCATTTCATATTGGTTGACTACAGATTTGAGGGAAGACAAACAGTATTTGATTGATCATCCTGGTGCCACAGCTATAACTACTGCCCAGGCAAGTAATTTTTAACTGAGATATTTTCTTGTTGGAGCCATAGAGATAAGAAATTTTTGGTTCCTTTTAGGATACACCTAAATACCATAAAATGCTGTGCAGGGAGAAGAACTGAAGAAGGCAATTGGTGCTGCTGTGTACATAGAATGCAGCTCGAAGACTCAGCAGGTTCAATTTTTTTCTTGTTAAGATGCATGTAGCCAAACTTGCAGTAAATTCTAATGTTTGGATGCTAAAGAAATTGTCATCGAAAAATATGAGCAAATTACCAATGAAATTGAGGAGCTTAAAATTATGCTATAGTTTCGAACTAAGTACATATTTAAAATAGAAACATGAACTTGTAATCAAGAGCATTAAACTTTATTACCTTACCGATTTAATTATAAATTATGTGTTATTACAATTTTATTTTCTCTCAATAATTTTTTTGATTTCATGAGTTAAACTAGACATTAGTGTGTATTTTCAACAAAAGTTCTGCCACTATTTAAAAATCGATATTATAGAAAAAGGCACGTAAAATAAAACACAACTTGTACTTTTGTCATGAAATTTACAGTAAATTAGAAACGTAACCATGGTCTTAATATTTCAGAATGTGAAGGCCATGTTTGATGCTGCAATCAAGTTTGTTTTGCAGCCACCTAAGTCCAACAAAAAAGGCAAGAAGAACACGCCTTGTGTTTTTGTCTGATTGAAGTGGTTGAATTGCAGTTGCAGTGATAGTGTTCAAGTTAAACTCTCATCCTATAACATTCAGATCTTTTTCCCAGGCCTTTAATTTCATAAAATAACCTTGAAAACTTGTGTAATATATTTTATTTGTAAGACGCAACTCACGAAAGTTATAATTAATCACAACTTTGCTTGTGTTATACTTAGATTATCAATCATATAATATAGATCAACACAAATCCAAGTTGCATCGAGTTCTTCGGTTTTTAATGAATCCACTCCTATTACAACGATGAGCTCCTAATGTAATAAATGCCTACCTAATCTAATGGCATGTGATTAAATACAACAGCAAAATAGAATTTTTTTGAAATTTGAATTCGGATTTAATAATGTCACAATTTATTTTTCTATCATTATTATTTTGATTTACTTAATGTAATAATTAGTATAATTTGGTTTCGTTATTCAAGATTTTTAAAATAAATATATTTTATCCAAAATTTAAATTTCATGGCGCTTGTAGCTCAGTGGATAGAGCGTCTGTTTCCTAAGCAGATAGTCGTAGGTTCTACCCGCACGTTCATTTTTCTTATTAAATTATAATAATACTTTTAAATTTCATGGCGCTTGTAGCTCAGTGGATAGAGCGTCTGTTTCCTAAGCAAATGGTCGTAGGTTCGACTCGTTCCTGGCGTGTTACTCTTTCAAATAAAAGTAATTTAACATTTTATCTCAAATAAAAATTATTTAATTATTTAACATTTTATCTTTTACTTATCACACTATTATTAAAATATAAATATAATCGCGCCAGGTAGGGGTCGAACCTACGACCTTCTGCTTAGGAAACAGACGCTCTATCCACTGAGCTACAAGCACTGCAGTTATCATTTTATCAAACATATATATTTTATCCTTATTTATAAGGACAGAATATATTTATATATTATTTATGTATTTTAAAAGATAAAATATTTTCTAAAAATTAATTTTATTTAACTTCTAATATTATTATTTGATACATGTTTATTTTATATTTAAATAAATTTTTATTATTTTAACAATAAACTTTCTAATTATTTTTAATATCAGGTTAAATTTATTATAATCTATTAAATGTGTATGTTTATTTTTTATTTTTGTGTGAAAAGGTTATTTAGAGGAAATTCATAGTTGTAACATCAAAGTATAACTTTATATACTGTTTTAAAAGATAAAATATTTATATTTTAATTAACAGTTTAATATGATGTGTGAATAATATAGTCTTAGGTTAAGTAATGAACTTATGTAGAATAACTGATATTGTTACTTTTAAATCAACAAATTCACGGTAAACATAGAGTTATAATCAATAAAGTGTTAAGTATATTTTTAAAATATTTTAAACAAAATAGTTAATTCAATATTTAACTTAATTAAAAAAATTATAAAGATTATATTATGTAAGTATGATATGTCTAATTTAGATCTCTACTCAAAAATCATAATATATATTATAGATATAATGAATAAGATGTTCAACTTACCAATTTGATTCACATCAAGAACATGAACATGCGTAATGATTATTTACATGACTCACATAGCAAAAGTTGCATGAGCAAACCCTAAAAGCTTAAAATGTGAACAACATAAAATATAGATAATGAGAATCATCAAGTCTTAAAACACATTAAATATTGATTTTTTTAAATAAAACATTATTAATGACGGTTTAAAGCTTGAGTTAATTATTTTTTAAAATAACTACTACTAAAAGCATCAAACTTATCATATATAAGGATATATGACTGAATGATAATAATTATTATTTTTGCACTATCAGTACATTTTAATTAATTCTTAAAAAAAATGGTAATCAAATTCATTAAAAAAATAATTTTTGAAATAGTCTTAAACTAATAAATAACTTTACTGGTTTTTGTTATACATTAAACAAACAATAAGGTAGGTGACAAAATAATAATAATAATAATAATAATAATAATTATTATTATTATTATTATTATTATTATTATTAAATAATGAATTCATATTAGTTGATAGTTTTTTTTCAAATAAGACAAAAGTGTGAATATCTCCTAAACATTAGAGTGTATCCCTTCATCTAGAGTTTACTTAGACTTCTTCCTCTATAAATAATTTTCCCTTCAAGAGACATGAACCTTAACCATCTTTTCATGTTCTTCCTAAACAAAACTTTTTTATTTCAACTAGGTATATATATCTTATCGATACAGATATTGATTTTTCATTCCCTTAATTCAAGACATTTACAATTGCCTGGTCGAGGTTTGTATCTTAGAGTTTACTAGATTTTCTGCTTTGTCTCATGTTTTGTTCTAAGAACAGAAGAGATACAAAACATGAGCATTAATACATGGATTCTCTTGAATACAATCCAGCTTGTGCTGCATGCTAGCATTATCATACTCTTCTTCTCATTCTTCTTTTTGTTTTGAGTTTTAAATCATTAGCACATAACACAACAATCAACAACTGATCATAACAAATCATTGGATGAAAAACAGGTTCTCATGTTATCAACTATAATCAATCTTTTTCTACCAAACTTTCTCTTGTAAATGAATATTTTGTATATAGAATCCTATGAACTTAAAAGTTCTGTCTATGTTGACAGTTTAAAAGAAATTTATACAAGATATCATTTCAATTGTCATCATGTATGTATTATAAATTTGTAACTGTTCTATAATAATTATTCTCAAACTCATACCTACCATAAAACTTATTTTTCACAGAAACTAAACTTTTATATATCATGATTACTTGAATATCTTCACAGGATGCAAAGAAATAACAATGGAATGCATCCAGCCTGTGCAGCATGTAAGCATCAAAGGAAGAAATGCAGTGAAAATTGTGTATTGGCACCTTACTTTCCATCAAGCAGAAGCCGTGAGTTCCATGCTGTGCACAAGGTTTTTGGTGTTAGCAACATAACAAAGTTGGTAAAGAATGCTAGAGAGGAAGATAGAAGAAGAGTTGTGGATTCATTGACATGGGAAGCATGCTGCAGACAAAGGGACCCTATACATGGCCCTTATGGAGAGTACACAAAAGTTTACAACGAGTACAAGAAAGTGTTGGATGAACTCAAGAGATTCAGAAGCCAACACCAAATGTTGCAGTTTCCCTCTCTAGGGTTAAAGTCTGTGCAAGATTTGATTCCCTGCAAAGGGGAAGACAAAGTAGAAGTTGATAACGCATTGGATTATCTTCATAGGAAAAAGAATGGTATTCTTGATTCTGATATTTATAATACTTATTGTTCCAATTATTTGCAAGAGTTTCAGAATCTGAGGCCAGAAGTTATCATACCCTTTCAGCAGCAATCTCAACCTTACTACATTACAGGTATTCATCTTTCATTTTTGTTACACTCAATTCATGAATTTAATTAATGCCCTTTCCTTTATGAGGTCATGAACCCTAATTTGCACTAAATATGTTAATTTTTAGTGACGTGATTATTATTTGTACATCGTGACTTGGTTCACAGTCCGTCACATGTCACCAAAATAAAAGAAAAGTTTATATAATTAACTAAGGAAAGAATGTACTTTATATGATAGAGCCTTTTAAGAAGCCAAAATTCAATCTTTTAAACTTAAGAGACTAAATTGAAATAAAATAAAAATCACATAAGAAATCCAAATCATATAGTCCATTTTTTATCATTAAAATAAAATATTTCAGATTTGAAAAAAATAAGCATCCATATTCCAACGAGGATTGCCTTTGAAAAAGAAAACCCTAATTGAATGGATTAGCATGTTCTTAGGAAGTAAACATCTTTCTGATTTTTTTAAGTAACAAAAATAATTATCTTGTTCATGAAAAATTGAGATTTTTTTGGAATCATGATCAATTGAAATTGGAATTTATATATATATATATATATATATATATATATATATATTTATAAATTGTAATGATATAATTTGAAAAGAAATTAAATTATTATTATATTATATTGTTAGGCATAATAATTCACTTCTGAATCTAACAATGTTTGCATTGTTCCGATATTTTAGGTGATCAATTCAAACAATGAATGGCGGAACAGGGAAGACGCCATAGATATGCAGGGTGGACACTCACAAGGATACATTTACCATTCATATTTCAAAATTGAGAGATGTACTATTTATTTTTTGTGCACCTTCAACTGGGAGTCAATTAAAAACTATTCTTTAAAAGTAATTATCACAAAAACTTATGCATAATTTTTGTTGTATATTATGACTTATAATTAAATAATGTAAATTAGTTTACATTCTCATTGTATTCTAAATCAATTTTGAAAAAAAAAAGTTTCAATAATGGACTTTTTTTTTCAATACAATCTTCTCTTACATAAATGCACACAAGTGTATCTTATGTTAGATTTTAATTAATGAAACCATTTTTGTCATTCTAAACCCAAAAAAAAATGCATAAGTCAAATAAAAGGCTAACATGAATTTCATATTTTAACCAAAAATTACAGAAAATAAAAATAAAAATAGCTACACAATGTTGAGGTGGAACGAATATTTTTAAGATCAAATGCAAATATTCTCTAAAGTGGTGATGTTTTTAGTTTAAATATAATATAACAATGGGGTTGTCTAAGTTTTGTCCGTTTTTACATATTCCCAAATAATAGATTTTATTAATTAGACATGCGTTTTTAAGACCAAGAAGATTTTTTTTTAATATTTAAAATATTAAATCTGAGACATTAAGAAGTGTATCAAGTTCTTGATAAATTTAATACGTATACTCTTAACCTCAACTAAAATATTTAATATTAATTAATTGGGTCTTGAAAAGAGAGTGTTTGTTTCTTAGAAAAACAAAATTAGGGTGAGTTTACCAAACATGCACATAAATTCCACCCACGAACTGAGGTCATGTCAAGTCAACTAAATCCGAGCCTCGAAAATAGAAACTGAAACTGACTTCTATCGAGAAAGAGAACACAAACGCACTTCGTTCATTCATTCATCCACGGATACATGAACTCCTGTTACTTCTTACGTTTCCATTTATCATGTTTTCTTCTCTTGGCTTCCGCCGCATGTTGTTTTTCACACTCTTCTCTCATTGGCGTACACCCCCTAGGTGGGTCCCCATGTACCCCTTTTGCTTCAAAACACCAAAGCTTTGCTCTTTTCTCAAGTGGGTGTGCAACCCGAGTCGAACGTTGCAGTACCCAAAAACCATTTTGATCTTATTTGTGTATTTTGATTGCTTGAATTGGGGTTCCGGTGCAGATGAGGAATATTACAGCTCTGAGGTGATCAAGTGCAAGGATGGATCAAAATCATTCTCCAGAGACCGTCTCAATGACAATTTCTGTGACTGCCCTGATGGCACAGATGAGCCTGGTATGTTTTTATGCCAGATAATGAGTTTTATTGTTCTGTGATTTCCTACTTCTGCATGATTTTATGATTCAGGGAAAATTGAAAAGGAGGTAGTTTCATTTCATCAGTATTTTTAGTGTTGTTTTCGGTCTATAATTCGAGTTTCACTTTGGTAGTTTTCATAATGAAGGGCTCCGCTAAAAGTCAACATAGGTTATGGAGGTGAAATTCCAATTCTGAAGGGAGAAGAACATCAAAATCACATAAAGAAATGCTTTTAAGTTTTGTCCAAATTGAGAATTTTACCAAAAAAAAAAAAATCCTTACCTTGAGCCTTAGTTTTTAATATCGTTGGCTTGTATTTATGAAAAATGTTGATAATTTGGTTGTTTCTTTAATGTCATAATTTTTCTTACTTTTTCATGACATCTTTTCGGCAATATCATGAGGTGAATTTCATACCATTTGCAACTTGTTAGGATGTTGATGTTGGTTTTAACTACAGGGACTTCAGCTTGCCCTGCCGCAAAGTTTTATTGCAGAAACCTTGGTAGCAAGCCACTGTTTATAGTTTCTTCTCATGTTAATGATCATTTTTGTGGTAAGCATTTTATCCTGTGTTTTTATATCTTGTATTCCTTTTTCCCATCTGCCTTTGTGTGAGGTTTTGTTAAGGCCTGATTGTTATAGAACTTTGCAAGTCTTTTAGAATTTTGCCAAGGCAAAGGAATGGACTAGAGAGCTTCGTATTTACTACCTAAAGCTTAAAGGCTTTGTGTTCTGAAAAAGATGGATAGTGAATGCTTTGAAGTTGTCTGGACAGTGAATTGCTTGACACATTTCTTAAACTCCACATTTTCATTTCCACTGCAAATGGATTTGACTAACCTTTATAAATAAATCAAATTTTGATTTTTTTTTTGTGGTTCTTTGTCTGTTACCTGTCTTGTTCTCTTCATACTCATTACCTATTTGAGATTAAATTATTTATAGATTTAAATTCATTATCATCTGAAATTATGTCACAACTGATCTGGTTTTACATTTCACATTGGCAATCTGCTATAACATAAATTGGCGATAGAGTTAATTTTCCCAGGATCAATATATAAAAAGGCTTCTTCTGCCTTGATTTGAGTTCTAATATTCGTTCAATATTGCTGGAGATTGTTGTGATGGGAGTGATGAACATGATGGAATCATTTGTTGCCCCAACACGTGTGTCATGGGTGGGAATGCAGAGTCCACAATTAGCCATTGCAAGCCAAAAGCAAGTAAAAAAGGAGTGAAGTGGGAGGAATCAGTTCATAACCTTACTGGTAACTTGTTTCCCAAGAATATTTTCATGTCTTTAGAAACTCATAGGTAAAAATAAATTGAAACATTCCTGGTTTAGGTTTGAAGTTGCTGTTTGTTCTACAAGTGGTTGTGGTTATTTTTCTGGTATTTCTCTGGAGATTCCGATGCTGCACCAGATCTAGAAGGAGACTTTACCATTGAATTGAAGGAGACCTTCCTGTTTATCTGGCATTATGCTGGTAATATTTTTGAAATATTTTTCTTCATGCTCCCGTTCTTTGGTATTCCTGATCATGATTTTGTAGTTTTGAATTAGTTGATGTAAGTGCTCATTTCATAAGAACTTTCCATATTATGTGACAAAAAGCAGAAGGAGTGAGAACAAGAAGAAAGCATCATGGAATAAGTTGTACAACTTTCTCCAGTTATACTTTAATTATATGTGGTATTTTTTCACCACTGGCAATGTATAGAGGTTCCATGTGATATTTCATGTGATGAATGATTGGTTGGATGACATGGATGAGTTAGTCGTGGCATTGCTGAGTTGAAATGGGAATAGAGGGTGTCAGTTTTGCTAGACGTAGGAGTAACAGAATCAGAAAGCCTAAACAACTTTTCAGGAATATGCTTGTTAGTGAGGGAATGAGAATATAAGCCACGGAAAGAATGAGTATAGGGGGCATTGAGTATTGTTTTAATCTCTCTTATACTGCTGTTGTTTTTCTCTGTTAAAACTGCTGGCTTCCATTACATTTTATCAATCAATGGCCTTATCTTTTAACTTCTTTCATTCACCATATCTTCACTGTCTCATTAAATTCCATATGGATCAATTTAAGTATCTCTTGACAAAACTCCCAAGGTTTCATTTTTGTTACGGTACCAGATAATGCTCCAATACTAAATTAATTTATCAACAGCTTTGATTAGATCAACAATTCACCATAGAAATTTCTTCTTCATTTATATGCACTTTTATGAAACAATGTCCTTCAATTAGTCCATGGTGACTTTACAAAAACTAGAGCGGAGAACTATGAGAACAACTCCCCACTTTTTCATTTCCTCGGAATTTTGCCAAATTTCAGATCATTTTTCTTTCGATCCATTTTTTAAACTGTTGATGAAATGCTGCAGTGATTGATAATTCTCAGACCTCTCTCTCTAAATCCTAGCAAGCCCACCTTACACCCTCCAAAGGTCCCCTCTTCCCATGTCTTGCTCTTGCTATCTGACAAGGGACTCAGCGTTCTGGTTGCATTCAGGTCCTTTAAATCCATGTTCTCCTCCTCTGCTTGGTTGGGAGATTGAAGCAGCAATGCCTGTCTCAGACATTTTGTGTATAATCTCAGGTGCAATCAATTGGATGTCACCTTGACTCTACTATCATGTCATTAAAGTCCTGAAGGGCATGGATTTTGAGTTACAACATTGTTGTTGGTGCAGTTTGCAAATGCAGTTGTTTCCAAGGCACTGAATTTTTTGATGTAAATTATGAAATATGGATCCACTCCAGGAGATTACTGGTAAAATTGTTGGTAGCACTATGATCAAAATTAGAAATATAGAAACCTGTTGAGTTTATTAATTTTTTTTTCGGGTACAAAAACTGTCATGCACTATTTCATACACTCCTACATGGCCACATTGAAACAGTTTGAAAAACTAATTGAATTAATCAAACCTGAAGATAGTTTGTCTAGTATCGGTGGACATAGTTTTTAATGCTGAAGTAGTTGACACGCATTGCAAATACTCAGTGGCATTTAAATTTTGATATCGTGATTATTTTTCTCAATGGTGATTATACTACAGGAGGATGATCATGAATAGATCTGAATACTGAACAGGGTATTATATTACCTTTTTTTTATACAGATTCAAAAATAAATTTCTTCTCTGGTTCGTTCATACTGATGTGAATAATAAGACTTCTAATATTTGTACCCTTACATCTCGGGTATTCAAGAACTTGTACCATAGTCAATTTTTTAATTTCCAATGAAAAAGTAACGAATACAATTTTGATTATAATATAATTATAATTTACTTGCAATCTAACATTTCAAAGATCTTTCAAACATAATCACGAAAAATTACAATGACATAATAAGGTTATATAATATATACAATCCATATGTTATGCTTGAACATTGAATATATTACAATAAATTCCAAGCTTCAAAACTTTTGCAAATAAGATAAATGGGGGTGTTGTAATGATGGAAAATTAAGGTTAAAGGGTCAGAACCAAAGTGTTTAAGGCAATAAAAAATAAAAGGAGTGGGAGCCATTGAAGGACACCTAACGAAGTTAGGTGGGCATTGGTTCAATCATGCAAGGAGTTTGAGTTGTTATCAGATTCTATGATATTTTTGGACGAGTTTGATGAGATGAACCTTTAAAGTTTTATAAGTGCAACTATAAATTTTGATAAGAAAAAGATTTTCCTAATAAGACATGATCGAACATACGAGGGAGACACATTTATAAATGATGTTTTGACGCATTGAATAATACATAATAATGAGTAAAAATTAGAACTAGATAATGCAAAATCTTTGCAGGGATGTTATCTTTCTCCACCAGAAACTGATAAAAACTGGCAATATATGGCTAAGTTGAAGAATTTTTTCCAACTAAAATCAAAGTAGTAGATCCGTACACTGTGATTGAATTGCTTTCCACAATTAATGCGAGAGAAAAGAGGTTATGAATAAAGCTGAAACTCATAGCCTCGAGCATCGCACAGACAGGCTGATTAGCAGTTGCAGCTTTTAAGCATAGCCTCATTATTAGGATGAACTTTTCCATACCCACTTATGGTCATAACCAAACTATTGTCATTCATGGTGTGATTTTCTTAAAGAGAATACACTTGTATAGTTCTAGAGATGTCAATCAATAGATAATAACTATTCATGTTTTAACATTATATTATTCTGAGACTATAATTTATAATGCATTAACTCAACTCAGTATAATCTTTGGACCAATTATTTTTTCTTCTTTTGGTCTATCTCTTAGACTCTTCCTTGTTGCATGTGCCATCTTTGCCTTCACAAGGGTAGTCTTTTGCAGTGGTTAGCCCACCATGTTTTTTTATGAAAGCAAATGCTGTGCTCTTTGGCCTCCATTTGGTTTCCATGCGAGTTCTTGTCAGACAGTGAAACAAACCTTCCCTCATTCCTTTACGTAATATTATTTTCATGACATGAACTTCCAAAAAAACTATGCAAAAGCCTCTGCAAACTAATTTGCCACTCTGGCTGTGCCTCTTTAAGTTACCGTCATCATGTGAGAAAAAGACAGTGAAGCTCATCAGGCTTCAGTTTCAAGTGAGTTTCCAAAACCTGCCAAGAAGAAAAATTGTGTTTCATTATTAGAAATTAAATTAATAGCATTTAGGGTTCTGAAATTCAACATTTTACGATGTGAAAGTTTTAATATATGTATCGATTGAGTTGATGACAATGTTTAGAAATAAATTCCAATTATTAGTTCCGAGAAAAAAAAATTCACCTGCAATTTTTTTTTATCATAAAGTAAATAATAATATAATATAAATGAAGAAGAATAAAAGAGTGAGAGTATTTTTTTCATAATAATATTTTTTGAATAGAACTCTGATTAAATTATTTTAATCAATAAATTATAATAATGTGGGATTTTTTCCATATATTATTTAACAAACATTTAATTTTCTTTATATTATTTATTTAATATCTATATAAAAATCTTAATAATATAATATTGAGTATTTCGAGAAAAATTCATTGTGAAATATTAACTAAACCACGTAAATTTTCTGTATTATTAATTATTTATTTTCATCTTATATTGCATTTGTTTTTCTCCAACAATTGGTTTTCATTAGTGTTATTTTGTTCTATCAATCTCTCAAAAGAACCACATACAATAGAATGATTCAAGAAAAAGACATCTACATTTTATAATTATAGAAAAAAAATACTAGAAATATAATTATAATGAAATAATTTAAATTTGAATACATTTTTAAAATTATATATTATATTATTTTGTATATATAATAGAATATAAATCATTATATATATATATATATATATATATATATATATATATATATATATATTTTAAGACATGAATGATAGAAACTTTAATTCAAATTTAAGTTTTAAGAATAAAATATGTAATTAAAATTTATGAATGTATTCATACACTTCATTTTAATTATATAGTACGTGAATAATAAAAAAAATTAAGTATAATTTCAAATTAACATACAAAAATTATATTATATATGTTCATAAGTTAAAAAAGTTCATAATAAATAGTTAAGCAACACTAATAATCTTTATCTATGCTTTAAAGATAAATGATTAATTTAATTATTGAATTTATGAGGTACGGTTAATTTAGTTATTTAAAAAAACAAAAAATTAATTCTATTCATACATATGTAAAAAGTCTAAATTAGCCCCCTAAATATTATAACTTAATTATATAACGGTCCCTAATTCGGTGTCATATTGGTATTTAAAATTTTATTTTAATGACTAAATAAATATTCATAAGAAATTTAACAATGAAATAATTAGGACACTTTTTTAATACTTAGAAAATAAATCATTCCTACCAATTCATTCACTAAACTATTATTTAAAATACATTTTATATATGAATATTTATTTATTAAAAAAATGAAAAAATAACTTCAAAATAAAAATGTATTTTTTTAACTTCTGAAAAACTTATTTATACTTTATTTAATTATTTAATATATAAACTTAATTTTGGATAGCTAAGATTCCACTAATTAATCTCCTAAAGTTTATTTTAGGCCTAACGGATAGTTAAATTGACTTTAGTCGTGAAACCACAATTAAAGCAAATGTTACTTTATAAACAAATATTTATAAAGATCATCCTTATTTTTTAAATTTTAAATTATTTATTGATAGTGTCTTAAATAAATATGTTAAAATTGGAGTTTATTTTATGAAATAATGTATAATATATATCATTCAAAGATTAAAATGAAAAAAAAATCACATGAAAAAATAATCAGTTAATTTATGCATTTCATGTTAAAAATATACTAAACATAGGTCTTATTTTGTATATGAAATGAAAATGTTGTATATTTTTATATATGGATAGAGTTTGATCTAATAGTGAGGTAACTATTCAAACTAAACATTATTTTAGGTAAGAGAAGACAATTTCATATCACATACCACCTTCTTAATGTCTTAAAGCTTCCAATTTTTCTTTTTTTCTTGAACCAAAAGAAAGAAAGCAAAAAAAAAAAAAAAAACAAAACATGAGTTGCACATGAGATAAGATGATAAATGAAGGAAGGTAGAAACACATACCCTACATGTGGGAATGGTTTAGGGACAAAGCAATGAAAAGAAAGCATAGTGCGTCCAAACATTTCACATGCCCTTATAAACACTTTTTCCTCTTCACTGCTAAGTTCCCACCACTCCACCATTAAAAAATATAATTAAACACAAAATTTATAATAAATAATATAATTGCATAATTAATATTTAAATTGGAAACTAATTGATAAGGATCTACATGCTCACTTACCTAGCCATGTGACTTAAGGACGTGGTCTTTGTTGATGGATAAAAATCCCCAACTCATGATTTCACCTATCACTAACTCAAACAATTGTCCTTTATATAGAAATTATTAACTCTTTAAATTTTCTTTCAAACCAATTACCTAGTTTTGTTTTCATTTTTTTTTTCACTTCAAGCTTGTTTAAATAGATTATTGGTATGATAAAGATGATGATAGATGAAGGTGACAAGAAGAAGAGATGAAGGGTAAAGTGTAAAAATGATGAGACTATTATTATAAGGGCACCCTACTAAAGGGAGGGTCACAAGGGCACGTGGTGGCTGATTCCCACTAGTTATTTATAATTAAACCAGTGGCGACTTTCCAGTAATGCCGTTGAGTTGAGGAGACCCAACCCCTTTCTCCTCCCAGCTGTTCATAGCTGTCTAATCTCTCTCATCCATGTGACCCTACTGCACAACACACATACATGCAGATACCCCACAGATTTATTGGGATTTTAAACCCCCCCTTCAACTATTTTTCTTCTTCTTATTTCTTACAAAATATTAAGTTGACATCTTTATATTAGACTGATATTTATCTTCTTCTCCTTTCCCTCTAACTTCTCTAAACATATTTACAAAGAGAGTTGGATGCATTAGAGACTCTTTGATTCAACTTGTCATTAATTTCCTCTCTCGTTTGTGGATTATTATCTTATGTCCATACCACACATTAATATATATGCTTATAGATATATAGTCATAAAGCATTGTGTTTGGTTTGGTTTGAGAAATATATATATATAGTCCTCTATTTCTTTCTCTCTCATTCTTCTTCGTCGTCATCTTCTCGAGGGAGTGGTGTGACACAAAATGGCTCAATTGCCACCAAAAGTTCCAAACATGACACCCACTTGGTCAGAGTTTACTACTCACCAAAAGATGTCTTTCCTCAAAACAATGACACCAAACATGTCAAACCAAAACCCTTCGTGGGTGGATGAGTTTGTAGACTTCTCTGCGGCAAGGCGTGGTGCTCACCGACGGGCTGTCAGTGACTCTATTGCCTTTCTTGAGACACCAGCACTGGATCATCATTGTAAATGCCGTGCAAGTGGTGACGATGACAACGAGTTTGAAAGGTTTGATGATGAACAATTCATGTCCATGTTTAGTGATGAGGCTTCAGGAAATAATAATAACAACACGACGGCACCCACATTGTCCTACTCCAACCCTTCTACACCCTCTGACCACAACAGCATCAACGATGAGCAGAAAATGAACAAGGAAAAGGAGGAGGAAGAGGAGAAGAACCAAGTGAAGAGTGAATCAGATGAAGATGAAAGCCAATGCAAGCAAGAAATCACAGAAACTCCAGATGATTGTAATAATAGTAATGCAAATGCGACAACTTGTTCCAGTGAGAAAATCACAGACCCCAAGAGGGTCAAAAGGTAATTAGTTAAACATTCATGTCCAACTCATGCCTTCAATTGCTCGTAAACTTGCACTGCATTGACCCATATGACATTCAATTTCAATAACAGCTTCTTTCAAAACAAATGGATAATGTGTTAGTTAGAGACCATTGAAACAAACAAATATTTCATGGTTTTTTTTTCTCAATAATATTAAAACCTTATGTTCTTCATAATAATAAATAATCTGATACTCAGTTTTGCGTAATCAGAATCTTGGCAAATAGACAATCTGCACAAAGATCAAGAGTGAGGAAGCTGCAATACATATCTGAGCTTGAACGAAGTGTGACTTCATTACAGGTGCATTTAGGTGACTCTAAAAAAGTTTTATACAAGGCTTGTAATATGATTGGATGAGTAATAAAAAAAGAAAATTTGATGTTTTTTTTTTTCTTAACTTCCTTTCTACTAATCTATTATGTTGATCAATGAAGGCAGAAGTTTCAGTACTGTCTCCGCGGGTTGCATTTTTGGATCATCAACGTTTGCTGTTAAATGTGGACAACAGTACTTTGAAGCAAAGAATCGCCGCGCTGGCCCAAGACAAGATCTTCAAAGATGGTACTTATTAAACAATATCATCTGCAGAAATTTTCTTATATAGGAAGTTAATTGTTGACTTGGTTACTTATTGATTGTGTTAATGTTGAATCAGTGGAGTAAGTAGCAATTAAGCTAAATGTTTCAAACCTTCAGATTAAGGCTAAGAATCTCTTTTGTATATTGTACATTAAATTATTAGTATCAAATAATTTTTTACAAGTAGAAAAGGTATAAAATATGATACCGGGTTATTTTCTTCATATCAAATTTGTAGACAAAGTTATTAAAACTGATTTTTTTAAGTTAATATATCTATGAAATCTTTCTTATCTTAATTATTGTCAATCATGGACTGCACCTATGCATGATAAAGAGTTAATATGTAGTTTTAAGTTTTTAGAGTTAAGTTCAAGACAAAAAAATATAATAAATAACACACAATTTAATGTATCTAATCTAGTTTGAAATTCAATAACATTAAGCATGCTACTCCTCCAAGTTGGTCAAGTATTCTGGATTATAAGAAATTAAATTAATACATTGTACTGTTTGCCTTTTTCTGGTACAAGTTATTAAGCATACTATATATATAATTTCTTTGCTTTAAAAGGAAGAAGAAACAGGCCAATTATTAAGGTGTACAGACAGAGTCATGTTGATTTTAGTGGAAAGGGTTGCATGCAAAGCATATTTAGAACTGTGTGCTAATCATGCATGTGCCCTGTCATAGAGCACACAGTTATGTGTATGAGATGGCTAACAAAACATCAAATAATGCAATCACTTACATATATATGCAGCACATCAAGAAGCACTGAAGAGGGAGATAGAGAGACTGAGGCAAGTGTATCACCAGCAAAACATAAAGAATATGGACAATGCTGCAGGATCACCATCCCAATCCCCATTACCATCTCCAAAACCACTATGTGATACACACACTGAGAAGGAACAGCTTATCAATGTTTGAAGTTTGAACCCTCCTTTGAACACTTATTCATCTTTTGTAGACTTCGATCAAACACATCACATCAACCACCTAGTGTAAGCTAATTTAGATGGCTGTGATTCTTTTCAATTTTACAAAAGAAATTGCAGAGTTTTGAAAATGAAAGAAAAGAAAAATAAGTTAGAGCAAATTCTAATACAGTTTTATAAGTTTTTTTCTACTGTTCTTCAATCAGAATTAAATTTTATCTAATTTAATAGAAGATTTCATTGAATATCAATGCAGATTATGAATTCTGATAGAAGAATAACACTAAAAATACTTATAAAAGTGTATCTAAAGTTTGAAAAGAGAAATATTCTTGTGTGATTGGTTGTAGTTGTAATGTAATGAATGACATATAGTACTGTTGGGTAGAGAGAGGGTGAGAGATTTTATTAGCCAATTGATGAAGAAAATATTGCAAAGTGAGAAGGGTCACATAATGGGGTGGTGAGGCCACAATTGTGGTAGGCTTTTGCCATCAAACTGAGGCACTCACGTGATATGTTTGCTTTAAAGAAGGGGACCACTCAAGTTGCATGATTGGAATTGAGGGAAACACATGTCGCCAATGACATCAAAAAGAGGGTGGAAGAAAAAAACAGTTGTGTCTGCTTTAACTAGATGGGAGAGGGAGGTACCCGTGGGAGATTCTTTCAGTTATCATTTTTTTATTATTATTATTATTTGTTATGTTTCTTATCTTGAATCTGGATTCTTTTTCTTTTCTTTTCAATTTTTGTTTATTTCTTGTGTGGGGTTTCTCAGTTCAAGTTGGAAAACAAAGATTAGTGGATGTGTCTTGGGATGGATGAAAGGAAGGTATGTCATTGTCAGTGAAAGTTGGATGTGATTGTCTTTAATTGATGAGTATCTTCGAGAGGACAACAAAAAACTAAGTGTAAATACTTGTTTGACTTGCCTCAATTTTTGTTGTAGTATATGGTGAAGTTTTAACTGTTGCTAGAATTTCATGTAGATAATGTTGATCATACTCTCCAATAAACAAAGTGAAAAATAGCTTTAAATTGGGTTTTTTTACTAAAGAGGTTAAAATCAAAATCTGATTTTTTGTAAGGGTGTTGAGAATTTAAAAATTTATCAAAATAAATTAAATAGTGATTCACGTGACTCTTCTTAAATAAAGAAATCGTATCTGGAAGCATTCAATAGTTCAGTAGTACCATTTTAATTTTTTTTTTTTTAAGTGATAGATAGCACAATTTCAATATTAATTTTGTTGTATTGAACCTGCTTAGCACGAGTTTCTTGAATTCTTTTTCTTGGAAAATAAAATTATTTTATATTTTTAAATATATTATTTATAAAAAAATAATTTTGATTTAATTATCAATTTTATAGAAAATAAAAATATTTAGATAAGTATGGTAAATTTAATTGTGTACATCTATATTAAAACATTAAATATATATATATATATATATATATATATATATATATATATTGTTATAGAAATCAAAGTAGAAAAAAAAATTAATGGTGAGACTTTGTTCTACAATATGGTGTTCTGATATGTTTGTCCGAGTTTACATGATTGATTTTGAGTAGGTCTTTGTTGTGCTTCTGTAGCACGCCTACGACCATATGATAGTTGAAGTTGAATGTTTACTTGTTTATAATCATCATCATTTCCATCTTCTTCATTTGTATACTGCATAAGAGAATTACTAGGCATAATAATCATGAAAGATGTTTGATTGTATGTTAATGGTGGTGTCATAGAAGATGTGGAAAACATATTATGTTACGCTTCAAAATAATTTATGCATGATAACAAACAGAGACAAAAACATATTGTCGGTTTTATAATCATAAAATCTTGATTGGAATAATTTTACCTCAGTGTACTGTATTCGTCATATTACCTTAAATTTCAACAAAAAGTTTAAAAATGTTGATTTGAAAAGAAAGTTGTTAATCTAGGTAACATCTTCTAATATACACAATTTTTTTTTTCTAAATAACATATATATGTCTGAAGTTATATTTTTTTGTACAAGATATGAGATCAAACAACTCCCACTTTTAACAAAACTATTTACTTTATTGTCTGACTTTGAACAACAAATATTCTAGTTAGATAAGATTTTATTGGAGAAATGGAATCTTATAATGGAGGGAAACGATATGGACACATAACAACAAATTTTACTGAGTCTATGAATTCTGTTATCAAAGAAGAACAAATTTTACCTATATCTATCTTAGTAAAAATAACTTTTGAAAGAACTAAATCTTGGTTTGTGGAAAGAGACATGAAAGCAGAATATTTGTTACGAGGTGGATACGAGTATCTAGAACATATTACTACACTGTTTAATAAAAAACGAACAACGTGCTCTTTAACTCTGAGATAATTCTGAGATAATAAAAAACGAACAATGTGTCATGTTCAAATGTATAATCGAAATAATTCTGAGTTTGACGTATAAATCCATTCTCTACCGTCATAGAAGATTGATAAGCTACAGAGTTCAATTAAATTAATGGTGGTGTGATTATGAGAAATTTCAAGCTCTTTAACTCCCTTCTTATCTTGTTGTTGTTATTTGTTCCTCTAGCCATTTATAATTGACTACCAGTTTATAAGTTACAAAGTATTTATAAGACATATGAATTTCAATTCCATATAATTCAAAATGAAGATTATTGATTTACTTATACAAATCCAAATTTTTGTCATAATCGTAATATGTGTCGAGAAATATCAAAAAGACCTACAACTAATCAAATTTGAAATAAGATGGGTGTAGAAGTTGGAAATAAACCAAAAAAATATTTCTTTTTGTCGAAATGAAAAACATAATCATACAAATTGTCTATTTTGATAATAAATTTATATTATTTTTTAAATAATATAATATTTTAATATAAATATACTCAATTAAATTTATCTATGTTTCTCTGAATGTTTTTTATTTCCTATCAAATTAATAATTAAATCAAAAATTAATTATTTAATAAATAATATATTTTAAAAAATAATAATCCTATTTTTCGAAGAAAAAAAAACTCGAAACATGAGTTCAATAAATAAAAAAATATAGAATTCATGTTACCTACTACGTTGAAAAAAAAATCAACTAAAATTATACTATATATCACGATTTTAGTGTTCATAGTGAAACTCATACTTTCAAACATGATTTCTCCATGCGAGAATCGTTATTCCAAGACTTTGGTAAAAAAAATTATTTTTGACCCCCTTCCGTAAAATAAGATTTTTTTTACCCTATTTAGTAAAAAAGCTATTTAAATTTCATTTGATAGAAAAGAAAACAGAAAAAAAAATTATATATATATATATATATATATATATATATATATATATATATATATATATATATATATATGTACGGTGAAGAATATTTAGACTTTTTGTTTTAAATTACCTATTAAAGACTTAACATGAAGTAATTCTTCAGTAATTATTCGAGATTAACATTAGAACCAATTAATAAATAATTAGGTGATTTTATAATGATCACACTTCTTTCTTATTAGTTATGATTTAAAAGCAAAGAAGAAATAATTAAGTGACTAATTTTTTTTATAATTAATTTATGAAGCTATTTATAAAAATAAATAAAATAAAATAAATAACGATAAATTAAAAGAGAAAGCTAGTTATTTAAAATTTCAAAAAATTCTAATAAAATAAAATTAATGATAAATTATTTAAAAATAATGTAATATCGTAAATTTATAATTTTTTATATAAAAATAATAATAAATGTGAGTTATTATTGTTAAAGATGTCTTAGAATCTAAAAATTCTAAATTTTTATTCAAAAATAGGTATTATATTGTGTAAATAAATGTGTAATGCATTGCTAAACCTGAACATAATTAGGACACACATTTGTTTGATAAAAATAAAAATATTTTTTTACAAGAAAAGAGGTGTCAATAGGTATGGGAAAAGTGTCGAGAAGACAGTAGAGGTGAATTGAAAGTAAAGTGTGGAATAAAAAATGTTCTTTGAAATTTTATGAAATGATGATTAAATAAATTTATAGAAAAAGGAAAGATTTTGAAATGGAATGGAATGAAATGAAATGAGAAATTAAAAGCATGGAGAAGTTATTAAAGTAAATTAAATGTAAATGGAGTTATAAATATTATTGACGAAAGAAGGGAAAGAAGTTTAATAAAGAAAAATTTAAGGTTAAGTATATTTTTAATCTCTGTAATTTCATGTGAAATTGGAAATAACTTATTTGTCAAAATTTACATAAAAATGATCCCTATATTTTTGAAATGATTGGAATAAATTTCTATTTTAAACAGCGTCAAATATATGGTGATCTGTCTAATCGAGATAGTATGACCATTCATTATTTTGACACGTGTAATTATTTACAAAAAAAATCAAAACTCTTCTTTAAAAAAATAGAAATTATTTAACAGAGATTATTATTTAAAAAAAAAAAGTAGAAGTTCTAGTCACAACCACTTTTCGTTCTTTCTTCTTTTCTCGTCACAACTACTTTTCGTTCTTTCTTCTTTTCTCGTCACAACTACTTTTTGTTCTTTCTTCTTTTCTCGTCACACATCAAATGTTTTTTCTTTTTTCCCCTTTCTCTTTAAAGGTTGTATGAAGTCAAAGTGACTTTGAAGTTCGAGGATTCCATCGGTTCGTTGTAATTTGACTGATAGTATGACGGTGGTGCACAACAACAATGTGCGACGGTGCTGCACTACGACGAGTGTGCGACGGTGGTATACTATAGCTAGGGTTTTCATTTCGAAAATTAAGGTATGTTTTTTCATTTATAAAACTAAATGTTTATTTTGTGTTTTAATGCATGTATTTGGGGAGTTTGTTAAAATGATTTAGGGTTTTTTTCGTACATTATTTTAAATGACTTATAAATGGCGAGAGAAATTTAAATTTCTTTTTAAATAACTTTTAAATGTTATAAATACGGATTTAAATTACTTTTAAAACTTGACACCTTTTAATTTTATTTTTTTAAATAATTACACGTGTCAAATAATGAATGAATCATACCATTTATATTAGACAAGTCATCATATACTTAATACAGTTTAAAATAATGATCTATTTCAATCATTTATAAAGTATAAAGATCATTTTGATGTGAATTATGACAAAATGACTATTTTCAATTTCACATTAAAATACATGACTAAAATCATATTTAACCCAAAAATTTAAAATACATTACTAAAATCATACTTAGAACTTAAAGCTTGTATGGAATATAATTAAAGTGGATTGTAGGTAGACAATATGTATGTTAAAAAGTATGTAATTTACTATTATTACTTGGTATTTGAAATATTTTTAGGGAATTAGTATGTTAATTTATTATTATTAAATATTTTTAGGGAATTAGTATGTTAATTTATTATTATTTTCTTCCCTGAGTTACTTTTGTACTTTTTTATCTTAAAATATTATTTATTTGGCTGATTAAAAAAATGTATGTAAAACATACCACCTTTGCATTGAAATGAAACCCCCTTTGACGTGAAAGTTACTTAGAAAGGGTATGTCATATCTACAGGAATTTGTATGATAGTGTGTTGTTCATAATTATGTTATATTTATTCATGTTAAAAAATTGTCTATGCTTTGTGATAATTTACATTTTAGATTTAAAAGTCAACTATAATATATATTACTGCATAGACTAATATTATTGCCTATCAACTCCTTAATAACTACTATGTTTTTAAATATAAATTGTTTGGGTAATGAGCTAAATTTTATTTCTACATTCAACTTCTAATTTAATTTATAATAAAATATCAAAACACTTATGGATGAATTTTCATATTCAAGATTGAAACTATAAATTTTCAGTCATGAAAAAAATATTAAACTCAGATATTGAATCACTAATAAAGATAAAGAAACATTCAATATATTTAGATAATAAAACTAATGAGAAGTGGATGATTATATTTAATGAGAAGCAAATTAGCGTGGAGATTATAAGATAATGGTTTCAATAATTTCGTTTGCTCATCAATCCTCTTCTTCAAGATTTTTTTTTTTTTAATTAATGATCCCATTAAATTCACTAAGATGAATACAGACATAGAATACAAATTCAGACCGTGTAACAAGTAACCACCTCAGAACTGTTAGTACATTCCATCATTGTGGGTCTTTATTTCAGTATTTTAACATAGATTCTGTTTAGCACTCTAATCAATTGCCGACCGTGTTGTCAAACACTAAGAATTTTGCGTCATTTAGAAACACTCTTTTACTAAGGAATGTTTTTGTTCAATTAAACAATATGTTCCATTCAATTTCATGTAAATAAACTCGTGGACCATTTCACTATATATGCTCAAATGCCCATAACCAGCATCTGAATCTTCATAAAAGCTGCGAGTGAGTAGTAGCAAGTCTCATGCAACGTGATTTTTACATACATCTAATTAGCAAGACACATGTAAACAGTCGTCCAGTCGTGATTCAAAGCATATCGTGACATGGCACTAACAGGGATTCCAACAGTAAAACAGAATTCACTACTACTTAGATGTCGCATACCATTAAACGCTCATAGTAAAGCTATGGATTTTTTAGAGTGGATGATAAAATGGTACTAATCCTCAAGGTAACAAATTTCCATAATTTGGCCCTGAAGGAAATAAGACTGGTACACTAATGGAATTAGTTTGTAGTAAACACCAAAATTTGCAGATAGTCCCAAGACCCGGATCAGGTTCAGGATCAGGTTTCTATTCTTACAGTTGACTAAAAAGAATAGTTTATAAAGATCGGTCATGAAACGTGACTTACAACAAACATTCATGATATCTTCAACAGTTCTATGTTGATTTATCAAATTTAATATTAACATCCCTAACAGCATGCAGTCTGAAATTCTAACATCCTTCAGAGTAACTGGTAATGCACAGAGCTCCAAAGAATTCAATTATCCAATAAATCAACAGTTAATCAGACAAAAGATTACCCAAATGAATGTTTCTAGTATTTCTATAACCAATCTGATCACATTTTTTCAACAAGATATAACTTGGTCAGTTATCAACTGAAACTGAGCATCAAACAGAATTAAAATTGGTAGCAAATAATAGATAAGAACAAAAAAAGGTAAAAACACAAAGTAAGTTTCCATAATTTGTGATTTGATCTCAAGACAATAAAAAGGTAACAATTACCCTAGTTAAAGGTCTTGGTTTCAAAATAAAGCTCTGTACATTCTAATTATAAACATAAACAATCAGCAGCTTTGAATTTGGCAATAACTAATTTTAATCATGTGCTACTGAAAAAGCTAAACCTTACGAAGCAGTTTCTCCTTCAGTTGTTGGAGCACATTTAATTGGATCAGAAACCTTGCGATTAGCATTCACTTCATTCAAATGTTTCATTTGGTCCTCCAAAGCCAACAACTTCTTATGTAGGGATTCAATTGTACTCAAATAAGCTTCAAATTTACCAAACCATGTGGATTCAAAATCAGCAGACTTCTTTTCAAACTCTAACATAAAATCTCTCAACTTCGCCCTTTCTTCTGCTTCCTTCTTCAGACGTTCCTTTTCCACCTCCATCACAGTCAAAACAAGGCCCCCAGACCCAGGAACATCGGCGTAAAGTGGTTCATTACCTTGAGGACAGCGTGCTCTATATTCAGCAAAAGCCTTTCGTGTTTCTTTCAAGGCTTTTCTATATCCATCGACAAGGCTTTGCATCATATAAAGCTCCTTCTCAAACCTATATACCTCCATCTGTCTTTTCTGAGTCTCTTCAAACTTTGCTTTATGCAAATGTTCAATCAAGTTATCTCGCTTCTGTAGCTCATTCATTAAGAGTTGCTGATTCATTGAAGATTCTTCGCAAGCCTGATCTTTTGTGGCATACATCATTCTAGCTTTCCCCATCCAATGTTCCAACTGTTCCATGCATGTTTCGAAGTCCATTGGTTTAGTATTCCACGGGCTATCACTTCTCAGCCTCTTATTACTGCCATTCAAAGAATGATGAGAGTTATGATTATCCAGGGCAAGGTTGTCTCTCTTGTGACCATTACCAAAAAGTGATGAACCAGAAATCATCTGATGCTCGTCCCTAGATGACAGAAAATCCCCTACTGGAGTGTCACGAAGATCAATCCCAGAACCAAAAGGCAACTGTCCGGCATCCATCACTTGGGCGAGACTACCATTCCCAGAAGTCATCCCCTCCATAGGAATACATTTTGGCGAGAGATGGAATCCACCATCATGCTCATCCTCTTCTGCATCCTCCTCCTCTTCCTCTTCCTCCCCTTCCTCTTCTTGGTTCCCATCTTCTCCCTCGTCCTCTATCAGTTGTTCACAGTTCACACCCTTCACATCACCACCATGACAAGGCCGCAGAAATGGATCTCCCATACAGTTCTTCTGATCCAAAAGCCACATCCCAGGCTCTTCCACGTCCTTAACCTGCTCAAAATCCATCATTTGCTCCTCTCCACCCTGCTCCTGCTCCTTCTCCACTTCAACCTTCTCAACATTATTGTCTTGCCCAAGACTCAACTCGATGTGGTGCTCCTCCAATTCCTGAACCTGCCCCTCCAATTCCTGAACCTGCCCCCCTAAGTCCCGAACCTGCCCCTCATCAACTTCACCCATCTGAACATCCCCACTCCCATCCACGTCCTCCTTTACCCCCTCCTCATCTTCTTCCTCCTCATCTCCTTCCTCCTTCACCTCATTCTCCTCCACCACTACCTCAACCCCCTCCTCCAACAACTCCTCATGCTGCGTCTTTATCAAATGCTGCAAATGCGAAGCGTAATAACAACTCACCAACTGCGGCGCCCTCAATTCCTTCTCCACCATAAACCATATTAATCCCGCCCAATCAACCTTCTCGAAATTTCCCTCCTTGATCAAATTCAACCACAAGAAAACATCGCCAGATATCATACAAGAATCATTAGGCAAAAGCATCCAATTATACACTACCTCCTCAACAAACGCAATAGACTCCGCAAAGTCAAGCGAATCAGCGACCGCAGCAGCGGCCGCAACGGCGCCAACGGTCTTCTTCGGCAGCTTCAGGGCACGGCCGAGATCGGCGCGGTTGACATTGATCCTAACGCCGTTGACGTAGCTGCACCGATTGCTGGGGACGTAGCTCGCGATGAGCTGCGCTAGGAGATCAGCGCGGAGCGGCGAATCGAACTCGACATGGACGAAATCCCACAACCCGAGACGCTCCAATAGGCTCTGGTGTTTCTCGAAGTCGAGGGTTTTCCCAGGCGTGAAGGGAATGGGTTTTAGGGTTTCGGCGATAACACGAAGTTTCTCGCGAGACTTTCTCTCCTGTGCCGTTCTCTTCGGACCCATTTTCTTCTTCTTTGTTGCGCGTCGGCTGTTGCCGCCGCCGCCTCCTCCTATGGCAGCGCCGAGGGCGTTGGGCTTCGAATCTTCGGGCTCCGTGTCATCGACGGTGACGATGAGGATCGGGTCAGGTATTATAGAATCATGATTTTGGTTAGGGTTGGGGGATTGAGGATCAGGATGGGGTAGAGTTAGGGTTTCGGTTTGGGGAGATTGCGGATCGGTGGATGGTGATTTTTGCAGCGGTGGTGGTTCCTGTGATTGGCATTGTTCGGTGACGCTAGGGTTTAGGGTTTCGTCGGGGAATTCACTCTCGGCGATTGGGTTGGTCATTGAGAAAGGGAAAAGAAGAAACTGAAAAAAAAATATTTAGAAGGGTGAGAGTGAAGTGACAGAGGAGAAAGGCAGAGGTTTTATATAGCGAATTACATACTTCCAGTGGACAGTGGATACTCGCTTTTATAGTCGTCGATTAGGAACAGTTTGACCAATTGGGCCTTGGGATATTTCATTTTGTCTTTTATACCTTCTTCTTCTTATTCATGATTATTCAATTCGGATTTTAAAATGTTCTTTTAGGAAAATCAATGATAAAATATTGTAGTCTATAAGCAAAATGTATTAAAAATCTTGTTTATTAATTTTATATTTTTACTATTTTATTTATATATAATCTTCACTTATATTCATAATAATAATAATAACAATAATAATAATAATATTATTATTATTATTATTTAAATTACGTGTTAGATACATAAATCCTATAAATTCACAAAACTTAATTTTTGAATATATATATATATATATATATATATATATAATAATAGGTTACTAATATTTCTTGATAATATGATGTAGATTTTCTCTTTTATTTATTGTATTTTTTTATGTTATAAATTATTTGATTCGTTTATTTCGATTAAGAAGTAAAGAATAACATCGAGATTTTTTGAGGCGGGTGGAGGAAGTTCTACTGTATGATTTATCGGAGAGTAATAATAATGAGTTTATTTGCAACTTTATGATTTTGATTGGTATTACTATTACATACGAAAAATATTCCTTCATAATCTTTTATATATATATATATATATATATATATATATATATATATATATAAAACATGTTAATACACATAATTCTTAAAATATGTTTGATAATATATATTTTTATATATATATAATCATTTAACATTTTTTATAATAAAAAAATACAAAATATATATATATATATATATATGTATATATATATATATATATATAATTTTTATAATTGTCAAATAATTATATAAAAAAGTTAATTATTAAATTATAATTGTAGCTATTTGTGATCCATTATCTTTTATTATTAAGTGTATGTTTATAAATCTTATCATTAAGTTTATTTATAAATAGAATTTAATAATGGAGTAACCTTCTTTATCTCGTTTTTAATCCGTTAAAAATAGGATTGAATGGATCAATAGCTTAAGATTAATTACGTGTTTCAATCCATCCCAATAAACAACATATTTGATAAATTAAGAGTCTATCCTTCAAAAAAAATATATATATATATATATATATATATATATATAATTTTTTTAATTATATAAAAAATTTAAATTTTTATTTATTAATTATTATTTTTATTAAACAAATATTATATCTACATATTTTAATAACATAATAAATTAATTAATATTTTTAATTAATATTTTTATTTTATTTTTAATATATTAATATTTTTAAAATGGATTAACGACCCATCTATTTTAGGTTTGAAGAACTTAACAACTCTATAGTTAAAATTATTAACTCCCATCACTTATTAATCCACCTATCATACTTAATTCGTTTTATCATTATTAATAAAAATATATTAAAATTTATATTTAGATAATATATTTTAAAATAATATTTTATATAATTGTTATGTTAACTTATTTATTTATACACATAATTTAATTAATTGGATAAATTTTTTATTTGAATATTTAAAAATATATTATTTATATGATTAAGAAATTAATAAAAATTTAAACAATAATATTATTTTAGTCTTATTATGTTTTTTTTAATGTTTATAATTTCTGTTTTCATTATGAAATTTGAAATCTTTTTTTATACTTTTTCAAAATAAGGAAATTACATTTCTAATATTTATATTTTTTTTTCATTTTTTTTAAATTTAAAACAGTCACCTTCAGCAAACAACATTTATTTTAAGATAAATAATTAATATTTACTTTATAATCTTAGTTTTTTCATAAAGACGTGATGTTATACGATAAATATCTATAAATATCACATGGTGTGTAACGATCCTAGAAATCGTTACTATAATGATGATTTTGCAAAATAGTAAACAAGTAAATAATGATATCTATCTTACATTGTATTACCGTAATTGTAACATAGATTGAAATTCTGGTTCACTAACGGAACTTCAAAATATAGTAACATAATTTATTTATATATTATACATGTAAAAGTAGCTCTCTAGAAGCTATCCCACTGAACTATCCTTATTGTCCGAGTAGTCACATCTCCATCTCTCAACTCCTGATCTGCTCCCACATAAAAGTGATCATCGCGAGTCTCATCCACATGGAAAAATAGGGGTAAGTATTAAATCATTCGATATAATAAAACAGATATAGAAGTAATAATTATATATTATGATTAATTACGAAATTATCAACACACTAAGACACCTTCCGGAAGTCTACTCTAACTATGCTCAAACTCAGAGGTTATTATCTGTGGGCACATTGTGATCGGCACCCGCAATACCATTCTAACCACCCTCCACACAAAGTAGGATTACTGGCGCCCTTCATCACTCATATTGGAGTACCCCTTCGAGCGCGCCACCAGTCATCCCCCATCGACTTCTCACCACCTGATCTCGTAGTCTACCTGACCCGACCAATCAGTGAAGTCTAGGACCTCATTCAGAATCCTCCGACATAGTTATTACACTAAAATACTCTGTACCACCCCGGGTACCATTCAAACACAACAAAAATTATTCACATTTGCCAGATTCTGGACCACCTGTCCTCACGGCTCATTCAAGTCAATAAATAATAGTACCTGACTGATTCTGGGCACTAACCTTCCAGCTCGATCTAGCCAATACATAACATCTCATGATCGATTATGGGTATCAGCCCTTAGACTCGATCGACTTACACACGTTACAATACACTACGAGAATCTTTAAAGCTGCTACATTCATTCTATATTTTAAATATATATATATATATATATATATATATATATATTCTTTTTTTTTTTGAAATCATTTCCAAAATCATTTTCAGAAATCATTTCCTAAATCATTTCCAAAATCATTTTCGAAATCATTTTCGAAATCATAAAATTACTATTTTGCCCTTAATCTTTTCTGAAAATTTCATGTGTGTCCCTAAATGACTATTTTACCCTTGGACATTTTTGAAAATTCCTTCCATGTCCTAAAAATGACTATTTTGCCCTTGGACATTTTCGAAAATTCCATTTATGTCCCTAGGATGTAAAATGACTATTTTACCCTTGAACATTTTCAAAAATTCCATTTATGTCCCTAGGATGTAAAATGACTATTTTACCCTTGATCTTTTTCAAAAATTCCTTCTATGTCCTGAAAATGACTATTTTACCCTTGGACATTTTCAAAAATTCCTTCCATGTCCCTTTCTTCTTCCTCGCGGTAACAAATTTTGTATATTTTGGCATATTTCAAATTACTCAGTTTTAGACAACCAAACTAGTCCCAAATTCAAATTAAACATGAATTATATCTAATTTAAGTTGAAAACAACAAATTTACCATATAATTCATCCTTAATTTTAAGAATTTCAAAAACTTTCAAACCATGAACCGTGCATCCAAAATCAGAAATTCTTCAAAATCAGACATTTAAATAATTCATATCTTTACTCCTATTCCTTATTCACGGTATTCACAGAGTACCCAACAATTCAATTTCATATATTGAATGAATTAAATTTCCCCTTACACTGGTGTAGTATTTCTACCGAAGCTTTCCTACTTAATTCAAACTCTCTCCAGTTTCACGAGATCCTGCACGAGTAGAGTCTCATTGCTTGAAATTTAAACAAAAGAAGAAGAAGGATGAGAAGAAAATTTTGATTCTCTTTTTCCCCGCTTCAATATGTATATATAAAAAAAATTTTACAAGTCAAGTTTTCTTGTACATTAATATTAATATAATATTAAAATAAAAAAGCATACGTCACATGCTTACTTGGTGGATATATAAGTTATGAATTAATATCATATAATAAATATTATTCTTCACGAAACATTGATTTATAATATTAGATATTTAAATATTATAAATACCAATATAAAAAAAACGAAAGGTTTATTTTAGTCCTTTGTGTGTTTTATACATTAACTTTAAAAGTTTTAGTATGGTATTTTATGTTTTAAAAATATTGATTTTATCTATTTTTTTTAAACGTAAAATATGTTAATGGTAAAACCAATCAATTTTATTTATATTTTTTTGAAGTCTAAGATAAATCTCTCAAAATAACATTAAGGTTTTATGATTATTTTTATTAAGATGAAAAACAGGTAAGTTACAAGTTTGTATAAAAAATACCGAAACGGTTTGAAGTTTTATTATATAAGTTTGCTTTTGTATGTTCTTTATGTTTAGTCTATTAATCCGATGAATTAAGAGTGAGTACATGTTGGCCGGTCAATTTTAAAAATATATTTATATATTAAAATAAAAATAATTATAATTAAAAATTATATTATTTTATTAAATTATTGAAATATATAAATATATTATAATATTTTAATTTAAATTAAAAAATTTATGAATTAAATTTAAATTATTGATTATAATAATTAATAAATTAAAAATTATTCGTATATTTTTTTTAAAAATTTATATAAAAACATTGATGATATGTTCCAGACTTGTTAACCTTTTTAATAAAATAGGCTGAGGTTTATAACTATTTTAGTATGTTAAAGACAATATAATTAAAATAGAATAAATTAAACTATTTTGTTATTCATCTTTTTATTTGAATATTTAATAATTTTTTAAAATTAATTTTCTAATAAGTTAAATATTTAAATTAAAATGTTTTCTATTATATACCAACAATTTTATTTTCTATCAACATATTTTATATCTATAATGACAAATGATATATATTAAATTCGTTTTATTATTTATAATAATACATATGTAATTATATGATAAAATAATATATCCATTTTTTTATAACAATAAGTTGAGAAAAAAAATCAGATTTATAAAATATCCTATTTGAAAAGAAAAGTAATCTACTGAGTACTCAAATAAAAATTTCTCATTTATAAAACTTATTTAAATATTTTAGAAACACAGTCATACTAAAGTGGTTAAAACTTAATCAACCAAGTTTAAAAATAAGATTTAATGAAATTTTCGAAACAGTTTTCTACGAGTGATAATCACATATTAAAACTATTTTTTTCTCGCAAAAGACTACAAATTAAAAACATTAAATCAGGGACAAATTATATTTGTCTAAATAAAATATTAGAACATGTGAACTTGGTACTAATTTCAGTAACAAAACTCGAGAAAAGAGAAGGCAAGAAGACAAAGTTCCAGTTGTATCAGCCAGACACTTTTCATTCACTCTTTCACTGTCTCTTCAATTTCCCTCTTCAAGCACCAGTAACGGTCATATACCACCTCAATAACTCAACTCAACCATCATCATCTTATTCTTCAGATACCCTTTTAAATCCCACACACCACCATCCCAAATCCAAACCTTACCCATTTCTCTTCCTTCATCTCCTTCACTTTCCGACCACTCTCCCACAATGCCCACATCAAAAAGCCACGTTCTTGCGCTCCTCCTCCTTCTGGGCCTCTCGCCGCTCTGCGTTGCCGGCGGCGGCGGGGCTCCGCCGCAGGAGCTGTGGTGCGTGGCGAAGAACAACGCAGAGGACGCGTCGCTGCAGGGAGCGCTGGACTGGGCCTGCGGGGCGGGCGGAGCCAACTGCGACCCAATCCAGCGCGGTGGAGCCTGCTACGACCCCAACAGCGTGCAGAATACGGCGTCGTTTGCCTTCAACGACTATTTTCTCAAACATGGCATGACCGATGATAGCTGCAACTTCAACAACAACGCTGCCGTGACCTCCCTGAACCCTAGTCAGTGAAAAACCCCTTTCTCAATGTGGATCAGTGAAAATAGTGTCAAGTGGTTCGGTTTTGTTTTTTAAGCAGAAGGCTCATTCTTTTTTTCTTGGATTTTTTTTTTTCAGGTTATGGCAACTGCAAGTTCCCCTCCGGGTAAATTAAGCTTAGATTTTGATTTTGTTTTGGATTATGAATTTTTGTCTTTTTACTGTGAGGGTTTTGAATTGAGGAATTTGGCAAATAAACTAAGTGATCTCATTGATGAGCAAAACATTAAGTTTTGAAAGGTTTGCATTTGATACACATATTTTAAGTTTGATCATGGATCCCATTAGCCAAAGTATATAAGTGCGGAAATCCCCTGCATGCAGGTTATCTCATTGATATTTCAACACTTGCATGATTTTCAAAGTTTGTTACTGTATTGTTGAAAGTGAGTTGGATTGGTGTTTGAGACACGTTTTTTGGTGACGCAGCATGACGGGGAGCAATGGGAGCTTTTCTGGTTCAACACCTTCTTCTTCTGTTGGATTGGGACCAAGTGAAGATTTGAGTGGATGCAGGAAAGTTTCGTGGGGGTGGTGGTTATGGCCCTTGATGTTTATAGTTTATGTTTTTGGATGATAGGAGGTGAAACTGAAAGTAGTCCTTGATTTGATGATGGAACTGTATGAGAAAAAGTTTTGCTTGTTCAAATTGCACAGGTTAGACCTCTTAGGAATATATATCAAATTTTGTGTTCTGAATGAATGGATCTGTTTTGAAGAGATTTGTGCCTGGTTTGAATTTTGGTCCATGCTTCATTGGAGTCATAATCAAATTATGGGGTTTAAATTTTGAGGAAGAGAAAATAATTGATAAATCTAGTCTAATTCTAAGAATTGAATGCATGTACGGAAATTCACTACAAATCATGCACCTCTCAACTAAGTTTTTAGTCTAAATGTATTTGAGCTAATTTATTTTTAAGTAATGTAAATTAAAAGAAAAAGTGGATCCATTTTTTTCAGCTTGTCCACTGTCCATTTTTTGAGAGCTCTAGTGCAAATATATATTGTTTTCTGAGTGTGAGCAACTAAAACCAATTTTCTTTGCATAAGTAATTTGCAATAAGTTTGAACTACTCATGATGCAGAATGTAAATATGGTCTAGTGACTGTACTCATTGTTTGGATTTCTCTCTTTATGATTCAGAATCTTCACATGCTTGCACTTTTACTTCGTTTTCATATTGTACTATCATGCTGTGCCACTATTCTGTATTAAGTAATAACAAAATAGCCCCGCTAACCGGCCTAAAATATGACGGGGGAGACGGTGATTTTAGTTTGTTTTTGGCTTGTTCTGTGCATCTAGGCATGAAAATGGGGCGGGATACGGCGGGTTTTGTCTTCTCGATCCTCGTTTCCGATTTTTTTAACCATCCCCGCTCCCGTCCCCGATTTTTTTAACCATCCCGCTCCGGTCCCGACAGGATTGGGTTAGAAATTAAGTCCCCATTCCCGTCCCGTTGGGTTTCGGGTTCTCAGTCCTTGTCCAGTCTCCGATCTATATTATTTTTAAAAAGATAATTATATTTATAATAAATTAATTTTACTATCTATTTTTTATATATAACTAAATATTTATAATTTTATAATTTATAATTATTATTAATTAAATATACATTTTAATTTATTATATTTATATTAAAATATATATATATATATATATATATGTAAAAGAAATATTTAATCATTTTTTATTTATAATATTATTATTATTATAACAACTGTATTGAAATATTTAGATACTTGTAACATTATTATTATAATACTTGTATTCAAATATTTGATTATATACATAAGTTAATTTATTTTTAAGTTGTCATTTAAAAATATGAAATATATAGTTTATAAGGAAATATTTAATAAGTTAATTCTTATTTAATTAGTTCGAAGTAATAAAAGTTTAAATTATCAATTTCTTTAATCCTTTAAAATATAATTATTTTATTAAGATAAAATTTGATATATGATAAATAAGAATAATAAAATAAAAAAATATGACATAATAAAACCTAATAAATATAAATTATAAATAAAATAATATTATTTATTATTAAGATTTATGTACAATATTTAGAAAAAGATAAAGAATAAAAAAAATTAACTTTTTGTTCATCAAATTGGTTGAAAAGATTGAAAAAATAAATAAATTGATGGGAGAGATAAGGAAATATGAAAAATTGAAAGGTAAGAGAGAATAATGTAATAAATTAATTGATATAAAAGATTATAAAAGATAAAAAAAATTAAAAAGTGGGTAGAAGAAAAATAAAATTGGTGAAATATAAAAAAATGACCTTATATGTAATAGAAAAAGAAAAAGAAATACTTTTAAAATATTAATATTTTAAAATTTAAATTTAAATTTAAATATAAAGTCGAGACGTGGACGGGTCGGAGTTGGGGTCGGGATTGCATTACCCATCTTCGCCCCCGCCTCCGACTTTTTAAAACGGGGAAAATCCGAACCCGCCCCCACCCCTGATTAACTCAGATTTTCCCGTCAAACTCGGGCGGAGACGGTCCCCACGAGTAGGGGTTGTCATCCTTATGTCCATCTTACCATATATGAGTGCAATATGCTACTATGCTCTTAAAAATAATATTTATATATTAAAATTAACATAAAAAAATTATAATTAAAAATATTATATTATTGTAATATATAAATATATTATAATATTATAATTTAAACTATAAAATTAATTAATTAAATTTAAATTATTTTGATATATAAATATAATATATATATATATATATATTATAATTTATCTAATAAAAATATTAATTAATAAATAAAAATTTAAAACTTATTTATATAATTAAAGATATTTTTTAAAATATAAAAAATTTATTAACTAGTTAGAATATATAATCCGTTATAAATATGACATATTAGAGTACATAATCCCTTCTAAATATAGCATATCAGTCCACATTAGAGACGAAGCTAGAGAAAATTGGCGGACTTTTCTCTACCTTTAAACCATATATTCTTTGGAACATGCATGTTTTTATTAATTTATTACTCATGCCTCCATGCTTTTTAAATTAAGGCAATGCTAGGTTGTTTTATTTTATCTTATTTTTTAAAATTAATAGGTTTATATGGTATTGTTAAGACAAAGATCCCACAATTTTTTTTTTAATTTTTATTATTATGAATAATCATTAGATTTTAAAGTATTTCTAAGAATAGATAAACTAGGTTCATCTTTCTTGTTTTCTGTCTTTTTTTTTAATTAGATAATTATTAAATTGAAAATTTAAGATTGTAAACTATATTATAAAGCTTCGCTTTTATAACTAATAATTAAAAAAATTAAAAGAAAATAAATGCGTGTTTACCTTTTAAAAAAAAGTATGTGTCATCAGGTGACATAAAAGATAAATTAGTAGTGTTTGAATTAAAGTTAGGTTGTTTAGATTAAGGAAAATATGATTTTTGGGAGATGAAATTGAAATTTGTAAAAAATTACGAGATATAAATGATTAAAAAAATTGTTTTAATAGAAAAAAAAATTGAGATGACCAAATTATATTCTTCAATAAAAATTATTATTATTTTATCATTATTAGAATTAAAGTATTATAAGTATTCTTATACTTATAATCATTATTATTTTTTATTATTAGAATAACATTAATTATTATTATTAATATAATAATAATAATTATTTATATATTTATTATGATAGTATGAATTATATATTCTAGATTTTTAGAGAAGATAAAACTTAGAGGGAAGATATTTTTACATATTGAAGAATATAAGAGTTTATCCTCCTGGATTAAATCCAGTATACAAAATCTCGTTATTTTTTTTCTCCATGAAACCTTGAAATACAAAACCTCTCCAACAACCACTTTTTATCCTGATATTTCTTTTAGAGGAATTTTTGAAATATTCTGTGAACCTGGATGAGATCTTTGTGAATTAACACTTTGTGCAATATGGTGTAACTGAAGAAGAGTTCCAGAATGTTAAAGATTTGACAGACACTTACAATGAAGAATTGATGGAAGAAATGATGCTTCACAAATTGATGTATCCTTACTGGAATCCATTACACTGTAGTAAGGAGTGAAGCATAATAAATAAATTGTTCCAATTTTACAAAATCTAATTGAAAGTAAAAATTTTAGTTAATGATTGTAATCTTGACAAGTTATTAAAACAACAATTCTTTATCTTTACACGTGTCCATTGCTTAAACTGAAAACGTATTAAAGGAGATAAGAAAGAATCTTACTTTATCCGAAAAGATAGACTATCCTATCTTATCTTGTTTGTAAGACCATAATAATAATAACTATTAAGTTAAATTAAGAATAAATTAGTTGTGAGAAGTATGCATGTAACGTTGAACAAATAAGTTAAAAAAAATGTAATTGAAACAAACTAAGATGATTAACCAATGTTGCACTACAATAATAAAAAAGAAAATGAATAATGTTTATCAATTCTTTGGTGTACTGACTAAAAATTCTTGGTTGATAGTCAGGTTGAGAGTATTTAATCTCTGTTGTATTTGTCGAATACCGCCTCAAATAACATTTGAGAATCATTCGGGGATTGCATCAGGTTATTGGATCTAGGCATAACAATGGGGCGGGGCGGGCGGCGGGCGGGTTTTGCCTCCCAGATCCGCCCACGACTTTTTAACCATCCCCGATCCCCGTCGAGGTTAGAAATTAAGTCTCCATCCCCGTCCCCATCGGGTTTCGGGTTCCCGCCCTCGTCCAGTCCCCGATCTATATTATTTTTAAAATAATAATTACATTTATAATAAATTAATTTTATTATGTATTTTTTATATATAAATAAATATTTATAATTTATAATAATTATTAATTAAATATACATTTAAATTTATTATATTTATATTAAAATATGTATGTAAAAAAATATTTAATTATTTTTTATTTATATATATATAGAGAGAATATTTATAACATTATTATTATTATTATTATTATACTATTCAAATATTTGAATACTTATAACATTATTATTATAATACTGTATTCAAATATTTAATTATATATATAAGTTAATTCATTTTTAAGTTGTCATTTAAAAATATGAAATATATAATTTATAAGAAAATATTTAATAAGTTAATTCTTATTTAATTAGTTCGAAGTAATAAAAGTTTAAATTATCAATTTCTTTTAATCCTTTAAAATACAATTATTTTATTAAGATAAAATTTGATATATGATAAATAAGAATAATAAGATAAAAAAATATGACATAATAAAACCTAATAAATATAAATTATAAATAAAATAATATTAGTTACTACTAGGATTTATGTAAAATATTTAGAAAAAGATAAAGAAGAAAAAAATTTACTTTGTGTTCATCAAATTGATTGAAAGATTAAAAAAATAAATAAATTGATAGGAGAAATTAAGGAAATGTAAAAAACGAGAAAGGTAAGAGAGAATAATGTAATAAATTAATTGATATAAAAGATTAAAAAAGACAACAACTTAAAAGTGGGTAGAAGAAAAATAAAAATTGGTGAAATATTAAAAAAAATAACTTTATATGTAACAGAAAAAGAAAAG